TGCTACTACTACTACTACTACTACTACTACTACTACAACTACTACTACTAGTACTACTACTGCTACTACTGCTGCTACTACTACGACTACTACTACTGCTACTACTACTAGTGCTACTGCTACTGCTACTGCTATTGCTACTGCTACTGCTACTACTACTACTACTACTACTACGACGACGACTATGGCTACCACTACCATTACCGCTACCACGATCACTCCGACTACCACATCGACGCAGGCGACGACGACGCAGACTCAGACATGCTTGTTTATACTCAACAATACCGCGATTGTGCATGATGATGTTCTTCTTCTTCACTCGCCGCAGAGAGAGTCCGCGTTGCGTCAGGAGCAGCAGCTTTGCTGCCGGCGTCTTTCGACACGCTACTTGTAGCCCCCAAGCCTAGAGCTGCATTCCATCGTCTCTATGCATCCTCCGCCCCGAAGGGCCTTGTTGTGCGAGGAGCATAGAAGACATTATTGCAATAGACTGTAAAGTGAGCAGACGAGTAGTAAGAGATGCAATGTTATAGGAAAGGGTAGCATAGGATAGCTCAAGTGGAATGCAGCGTGAAAAATGTGGTGCAAACAAAAGTTGGTAGCTCGGGTCTGTACTGCTACGCATCCAGAATCTGTGCCTCGTCTTTGATGCGGAAGAATATATACGAATTTCGTAGAGCTATCACTTCGGAAGCTGGCGTGACCTGCTGTGCCTTGCGATTGTCATCAGTCAGGCACCGGATGCCTGTGCCTTGGACTAAGGCAGCACGATAGTGACCACGGGTAATGGTGGGGCCTAAATGGTACACTATGGCCGAAGTCCTATAGTTGACCCATTCTACCTGGCTATTCACCTGAGTAAAATGGGGGAACTTTACCTTATAGGGAGATTGGATGCATCCTGGGCATTTGCGGCTGTGATCATCGAATCGTGCTACCTGCAGCAAAAAAGGGGCGGAGTGCCCTCAGCGGCCGCAAGTACTCTTGTCTGGCCTCACACAGTCTGTTGATGCCACTGATTGATGAGTGCTTGCAAGGTTGGCGAGCCTGAAGATTCTGCTGCTGCTCGGACACTAGCGGTGAGCGGCAGTGGTGTCATCGTACCGGCATCAACAACCTCAGAGGGAAGCTCCGGTGAGGTGGGAGGAATGCGGGCTTCCCAGGCGCTGCTGAATGCTATAAGCTTCGGACTCAGGAATTGCAAAAACTCCGCAGCGTCCTGCTGGCCTTGTGAAGGCCATGTCTGGACTGCTTGCTGCCACTCAGGAATAGACCAAAGGTGAGTGAGCGCGCCTGCTCGAGTTAACACCTGTTGCAGTGCGAGCCGGAGCCCAACATCAGGCGGCGCGGAATCGAAATCAGCCTGGGAGGCAGACCATAGATAAGCGGTTAAAACCGAGTTACCATAGCAGTAGTTTGATTGATTACCTAGTATGAGGTGCAAGCAGGCCTCGGAGAAGCTCAAAGCTTCTTGGCTGCCTCCTCTACGGAGCGCTCCAGTGGGCCACGGCCAAGTTTGGCTGGTCGGACTGTCCCTCCAATTAGGTGCCATACCGAGCTGAAGCTCAGTCTTTCCAGAGCCAGGTATGTGGTTTGACTCTCCTGGCACCTGTTGTGGATCTCGAGAGTGAAGGGGACGATGTCGGAGGTCATGTTGGAGGTTAATCGCCGTAGAGCATGAAACCTCAATATGACCTTGGGAAAGATCAAGTTCTGCTTGATCTGTGCCAAATAGACTTTGGCCTGGGCAATCGGCATGTGCTCCTGCTCGGACTTCTCGTGTTTCTTCGTTGTCTGGTTCCAGCGAAGATAGAGAAACTTTCCGTCCTCCACTAGGCCAAGCTTCTCGAGCCTCAGGACATCCTGGGGCTTGTCTTCCAAAGCCTCCACTCGCTCCAGGAGCGTTCCAACCAGACAGTACATGAGGGTCGTGCGGAGGGTGGCATTCAGGCTGCCCGGGTCGTTCTGCTTCTTGTCGTGCCACGCTTCGGCCGCTTGAAACAGGTTCTGGACTATGGCCCATTGCCCTGTGGAGGCCGTGTCCGCTTCGCCTTCCGGCATCTGGGGCTGCATGGTTGTCTTCAAGAAGACCATGAAGCCCAAGTCCATCTGCAGGTAGGCTATCGTGTCCGCTTGGCGGAGCACAAGCCTCACGAGCTCCTTCATGAGCTCTCGGAGCTCTTTCTCCTTCTTGTTGTCGAGCTCGCTGTCCTGCATCCACCATGGGCGGTCGCCGTACCGGGAAGTATGACCCCAGTCCCGCCTGTTGTAAGGCTTGGGATTGTTTGGCTGACTTGCCTGGCCTCGCTGAGGACTTCGACGAGGGCGGTCCGTTGCCGGAGGCTCCGGGGCTTGCTCCTTGCTGCCCTCTCCTTTGCCCATTGCTTTTTGCCATTTGGAGGGTGGCTCCTCCTTTTCGAGATCCTGTGCGTCCGTCTCCGCCCTCTTGTCCCTCGCCGTGGTGTCCATGTCCGTGGTCGCCGGCTCTTCGGCTTGCGACGCTGCCGTCGACGGAAGGGGAGATTCCGGAACTGCAGGGGCTCTGCTCCCGAACAGAGGGGGAGTTGGCTTGAGGTGTCCCGCAAACTGGGAGAGCTCCTGCGCCGCACGAAGTAGCTCCTGCTCGTCCGCCATCTGGAAGAGCTTGCTGACCTGGATCACGTAACGAGGAAAAGTGGTTTAGGAAAAGACCACACGTCCAAAGAACAGGACAAGCACGCTGATGTGCCTTCGGAGGCTGCCGGAAGGGCTGCAAACACCAATTGCAGGGCCTGCTGATTACCCGCCGTTCTTGGGCCCACTGACGGATGCAGGCGTCTGATTGAACTATGTCAGCATGTTGTCTACATGCATGTCGTGCAATGTACATGCTGTTGGTGCACTTGTATCTACACACCGGACAGTGTCCATTGTTGATTTCAGTGCGCACAAGACCCGCCAGTTGGTCTGTTTGACGGGCCTCGGCGGCTGCTCTGACCTCTGGCCGTTCTAAAAGAGGTATGCAGTCCTGAGACTCCGGTTTGGGCTGAAACTCATTGGAATCAGCTTGTTGTGGCTGACTACCCCCCGGTGCGAACACCCCTTCAGCGGGGGTAGCCTGTGCATTGTCGTGGCCCGGAACTGGAGCCGCATGGTGGATGGGACAGGCCTGTTGATGAAAATGTCCCATGAAGGCTCTCCATGAGGAGAAATTCTTGCTGCAGTGCTTGCATCTGGGGCTGCCATCCTCTGCATGCTGCATGAAAGCCGTGTTGCGACTGGACTTCTCCGCGTAGCTCTTTTTGGTTTGGGCTTGACTATATTCAGGGTGCGATTTACCTATGTGAGTACGGACGGCATGTAGACTTCCATACGTAACTCCACAAATAGGGCAAGCCGTTGCCTGTTTCAGCATTTGAGTCACTTCGGTGAGGGTGGATCCCGAGGCCTGACTGCCTAGCTGATTATGCCAGTCCTGGGCTGTAAGCTGCGTCCATCGCACCTGTACTGCTTTCGGCTGAATGTGAGACAAGTGGCGACCGGCTGCAGCTATCCGATTGCAGGTCATGTCATGCAGAACTGCACAAGAGGGTCTCTTAGGGAATGGTTGTTCAGAAACTGTTGATTGGACTCATGGTTGATGTGGGGTGGGCTCCTAGCAGTTAGCCTTAGCTGCTTTATGGCCTGCGTTCGCAGCTGTGTAGCGCTGTGACTGTCAAGCAAGACAGTGGTGAGGCCATAGTACATGACCGTTCTAACACAAGCGACCCACAGCCGGATGCGCGTGGGCACTGGCAGCGCCTTGCAAATTAGAACTCGGTGCAGCCGATGGAACGCAACCCATGATTGTTTAATCCTGCCCTGAACCGTACTCCTCTCGTATTGGCCATAACCTATTTGAAGCCCTAAATATGTGTGTTCCTTCTTCAGTGGCAAGTTGACCTGGCCTGCCTTGGTGGGTATGCGGAGACTACGACCTGCGCGGGTGGTGTGTATCAGATTTTTGGTTGCCTGCGTAGTCTGCGTACCTCCTAGGGCTAATATGACAACAGTTTTATCAACTGCTATCTGCATTCCCAACGCTGTGAGGTCGTCAATGACTCTGCCAGCCTGTATGCATGCATTGCGAAGCTGCAGTCGGGAGTGGATATCCCAAGCTACGTGATAGTCATCTGCGTAGGCGGTTAACTGCTGCTTGCCGAGGTAGGCTTGGAGGCGTTCAAGCGTGAGGAGGGTGAAAGCTGCCCATAATAGGGGAGCCAGACCACATCCTTGTCGAATGCCAGCCCCCGTTCTGATTTCGGAAGTATACTCATCCCTGCTGAAGACCAACAACATTTCATAGTGCAGGTACAGGATCAGCGTGAGGAGGTTCTCGGGGGTTCCGATTCTTCTAAGAGCTTCCTCTAGCTTATCTCTGGGCAACCTGTCGAATGCTTTGCTTAGGTCAAGGGATATTTGCATCCCTCCTTGTATGAGAGGCCTTTGACCTGGTTTGTGTGCAAAGGGCTGTGGTCTGGCTGCAGCTACCCGCTGTCGTACAGCCGAACAGTGTGAATGTACTCTGTCTAATGCATCGTGAGTTTGCCTATGGAGAATATAAGCAAATTGTGGCTGTTCGGCCATAGCCGATGCAAGTAGCGGACGGACACGTTGTGCAGCAATCCTTGCCAGTATTTTGGCCACTGCTGGTAGGATGGATATGGGCCGAAGGTTGCTCGGACAGTTGGGTGGTTTGGAGGGTTTGGGGAGGAGAGCAACGAAGGCTCGGTGCCAAGCTGTCGGCATATAGAGTCTGCCCGTCTGGAATCTAGCATTGAAATCCTTGTTCAGAATGGAGACTATGCTTTGATGGCAGCTCGACAATAGCACTGCTGGTGCCTGGTCTGGAGGCAGAGCCTTGCGCCTAGAAAGGGACCCTAGTGCGGATGAGATCTCATCCCGATCTATGCTCAAAGGCTGATGTAGCGTGTATGTGCGGGTTGTGATGGTGTTGGGTGTGCGGTATAGGGACTGAAAGTAGTTAGTAATTTCTTGTAGGGACTGCTCAGGTGTTAGGAGGCCGCGTTTGGGATGCTTTAAGTGTATTGATCTTTTGGGAGTTTTCGGCTGAAGTTGATGCATGACCTTGTACACATGGGAAAGGCCTTTCGCATCCGCCGCTAGAGCAGTGGCAATGAGCTCCTCGGCTTTAGCCTTGCGATTCTGTCTAATTTGCCTGTTGAGGCTCCGCGTATACCTTTGATGCTTTATCTCTGCTTGCCATACACGGAGGAGTGCTGACAAATTCCTCTTGCCAAACGGAGCTGCAGTGCTGCCTGCAGTTGCTGGTCCAGCTGACATTGTACAGTCTTTCACACAGGCCGGAGAGGCTAGCACGTACTTCATGCTTGCTGGCCCAGTAGTCTGCCAGGTTGGGGCGATCGGTGTGGGTGGTGGCACCTTGCCTTTTGTTCTGACAGGCCTTATATGCCTCTACGAGTATGGCATCCACCTCTTCGGCCTGAGTGTTGGGCTTCTGAAGCCTGGACTCAGCCATAGCTTGAAAGCGGCTCGCAAAGGTGGCATCTTGCATGGTGCGACAGGCATCTTTGGCAGTGAGAGGCTGGGATTTGCGGACTGTCTTAGGGATCCTAGGCATAGGTATATATATGGAGGCGTATGGGGAAGTGCCGCACACCACTTTCTGCAACTACAGGTGCTGTAGGATCTACATGGACCTGGAGGGATGCAATGTCGCATGGCTGGCGCATTAGCACATGGTCAATTTGGACCGGCTGGTCTCGATGATTGACATACGTGGCTGACGCACGTCCTCCTCTCTTCCATGTGTTTACAGCTATCAATCCCTGGCTCTGAACGTAGCCCTGAAAGACTCGTTGATCTTTGTGGGCCGAGCTACGGTGTGGAGACAGTCCTGGTCCTACATGAGGATGCATTTGGCATAGCTCTGAGTTAAAGTCCCCTAGTACGATGAGGCCATTGCGTCTAGGAATGGAAGACGTCCAGCTGCGGAGGGCGGACCAAACACTTTCTCGAGCTCGCAGTAGCAGAATCTGTGGATCCTCTGATTGGTTCTGGTAAGCTTTCTTCTGCGGGGTCCAGGCATGTTGCTAGACATTCATGATATCTAGGGGCGGGTTGGTACCTAGGCGTATATGTAGCATTCTGCCTGGGATGACTTCCTGATATTGCAGCGTCGGCTTGGGCAGGTTTGGAAACCGAAGCAGGGTCATGACACCACTGGAGGTATCTCCTGCACTGCTGGAAATGCATTGCCACCCATGTCGAGTGAATTCAGTGGACAGCGACCAGTGTGTCTCTTGCAGGCATACAACGCACGGCCTGTCATCTATGGTTTCTTGCCATTGCAGCAGCGATTCTAGCTTCAAGGCAGAGAGACCTCCACTGTTCCATGTGAGGATTCTGATGTCAGAACACACATGTTCCTGCTGGATGACCGGTGAGGGCCCTTTGGGAGCGGTCTCCGAGGGCCGGGGCTGAGGCGGTTGTTTGGAAACTAGAAGCTGTCCTCGGTACCAGGCTCTACCTAGTCTGCAAGCTCTGTTTAAAGCACGCTTGTATGAACGCTTCGCTATTCTTGACAGGTGCGCTGAGGTCACGGGGCCAACCTCCGTTGGGTGAAGTCCTGTAGCCTGACCAGCCTGAACTTGCACCATAAGGAGCACTATGCTCAACAAAAGTGTGGTAGGCGTTGGCAGGCGGGACTGCACAGGTGGATGCTGTTCTGGGGAATAATGGGGTATAGCAGACTCAGTGTTTAAGTCCGGGCTAAGGCTATCTAGGCTTGGGGCCATTCCTTGGGACATGGCAGTAGGGAAAACATGGTCGTCTCGGTTTGCTTCATGTAAGCAAGTATCAGGGTTTTGGTCTGCTTCAGGGGGTCCGCGACCTGAGATACCCCCAACCCTCACGTCTACGAGTCTAGCTTCAAGCAGTGTGTAGACTTGGCTCTCGTCTCCGGAATTGGGACCGGAGCGGCCCTCAAGAACAAAGCATGTTCGAAGTGTCTCCCTGGCACTACTAAAAAATTTAAGCCTGGCCGAAGCGCAGCGTCCCTGGGCTGACCTTCGATCGGTGCGGGAAGGCCTTGATGAAGGTCGTCGAAGTAGGCGGATGCAGTAGTGCAGCAAGCGCCTAAGCGCTGTTGGAAGTCCCTGCGGAGCCATCCTCTTGCTCCTCCGCAATGCGCTTCTTCTTCGCCGGAGTCGAGGTGGCCTCCTGAACCTCCAATGCCGTAGGTGGCGTCTGTGGAAGCACTGAGGAGCTCGAGGCCGCGATTGCCATTGACTCGTCGGCTGCTGGTAGCAATGGCGGTGCTGGCCCATCTGTAGACGAGCTAGCTCGCTCCCCATGGCGTTCTGCTTCGGCAGCGTGTCCTGGGCTAAGCAGTCGCTGCTGTAGCTCATACTGAGCATACCATCGTTGGAACTTTCCACGCTTGCGTAAGGGCAGCAGGGGCCAGAAAACCTGTAGTATCGCGTAGTACGGAAGGTAGAGGGCTGTGTCCACCGCGATGCGGGCCATTGTTCTGGCCAGGTCCTCCGTCTCCATGTATCTCCTGAATCCCTGGAAAGCCAGCGTTCCAAGGGTTTGAAGAAGTTGGCGCTGCCGTGGGGCAAAAGTTGTTCCTGTACTAAGTATCCAGCGAACATCATTGCGCGGGATGTCCCTTTCCAGGGCTGCTCGTAGGCCTCTGAAGGCATTCCGCAGGTGTGGTGCATGGTGTTCCGGTAGCTGCCGAAGCGTTGCTTCCAAAACTTCTGGAGCCGGCTGATTGTATTGAGACCTTCTTGCTGCAGCCATGCGTCCTGAGGTTCTCCTCCTGTCGGAACTTTCCTCCACCAGCGTCTGCCCATAGAAGTACCAACATAATTCCAAAAGGAGTCTGTTGCGAAATTCAGCCTGCGCAGGCGTGTTCCTCGGAAGATCGTCTGGGGTGTTGGCTGAGTAGCCAAAGTCACTGTCCTCTGTTGAAGTCGAGGATCCTCCAGCTGAGTCAGATAAAGAGCGCTCAGAAGGAGAGTAGTTCGCAGGAGAGCGAGGCATGGCATTCGTAGTTTGGCGGGAGATCACTTCCTTCCTTCTTGGGCCGAGACGCTTGATGATGATGATGATGATGATGCCACTGCTGATTATGATGATGATGCTGATGCTGATGGTGATGATGATGCTGATGATAATGATGATGGTGATGATGACGATGCTGACGATGCTGATGACCGTGATGCTGATGCTGATGCCGCTGCTGATGATGACGATTGCGATGAGGACGAGAATGATGAGGAGGAGGGTAGAGACGGACGTGCTGATGTTCATGGTCGTGCTGATGGTGCCGGCAACCCCGGATGAAGGGCACTTTGCTATGGCCAGGCCAGAAACACATGCAGCTAGAACATCAATGGTCATGAAACAAGAACAATCAAACCTACGACGTAGCATCAACAAACCTGTAAGAATCGCAACCCAACCCCGAATATCCGAACCTTTTTGCCAAATCTCCTGAAGCCCCCAAGCCCTAAACCCAAATGACACTAAGAATCACAGTACACGTGGCTTGTGACCCTTGCACCTCCACCCCGGTCGCAGCGATTTCTGGGGTGAGCTCCGCATTGAGCATTCGCTCGAAGTGATCCTTCAGAAGCTGCTCGTACCTGATAGCTAGAGGTTACTTGGAGGGTCGGGGGACTTAGCAGATGGTTATTTTATAGACTTATAAGTACTATAACCCCAGTTAGGGTCCCTTTTCGGGTATTTATAAGTCTACTTATTACCTACTTACTAAGTTTCCCGACCCTCCAAGTAGGGATGAGGGGTGCAAGGTGAGCTAGGGTTCTGCAGCTGCTCGTACCTTGCGGGTTTAGGGTTTAGGGTCTAGAAAGCGTAGAAGCATCATACCTCCCTGCACCTCCTAGTCTGAACACAATCCGCGCGGTGTCTAATGTAAGGGCCTAAATAATTTCCAATACTATTTTGGGGGTTCCTGAATATAATTATAGTATAATGGACCCCAAAACCCTATTCTAATTATTAAGGCAAGATACTGCAAGTGCTGCTCAAGACGCCGCGGCAGGCCGCTGATGTACAGCCTCAGGCATCTAACGTACTATAGGGGCCTTAATCATTAGAATATGGTTTTGGGCTCCTTTATAGTACGATTGTAGTTTCCCTCCCCAAAATAGCATTGGTAATTATACGAAGGCCGCTATATTAGAGGCCTTAACAAGAATGGCTTTCGCTGTGTACTAAATACCTGCAGCGAGGAAGCCTCGGGAACATTACTAGTAATTGCTTGGGCTCCAGTATTACCACCCCATCTTTTCGCAGTCAGCACGACGATAACCCATCTCATCAGCAGGTCCTGTACAACACTGCTCTAGAGACCGCGGGCACTTACATGAAGCAAGCAGCGTGTAGGCGTCGGGGGTCACCACTTCCTTCCTCTCTCGTGCCACCGCGTCCGGGATCGTCTTCTGACAAAACCAAAACCTGGCAAGACAACGTCCTAAACCTCAAACCTGAACCATCGGCTCCAAGAACTGTTAATTACTACTTAAACCCTAAACCCTACACCCCAAACTAAATTCCAAACCTTACTTAAGCCGTTTCGTCCTCAGGACCTCCTAAGCCCTACCACAAGCCCCAAGTGCATCCTATCTCAACCATAGACCCCCAGTGGCACCCCTCTGAAGGAACCCTTAAAAGAACACTAAAAGACTAAAGGAACCCTTCAAGGAACCCTTAAAGGAACCCTTAAGGGAACCCGTAAAGGAACCCTTAAAAGAACCCTAAGGGAACCCTTAAGGGAACCCGTAAAGGAACCCTTAAAAGAACCCTAAGGGAACCCTTAAGGGAACCCGTAAAGGAACCCTTAAGGGAATCCTGAAAGGAACCCTTAAAGGAACCCTACAAGAACCCTTAAAGGAACCCCCTTAGGCCTCCTAAACCCTAAACCTCCTAGGAGTCGGGAGCCCAGGAACGCGACGGCCCAAGTGGCGCCCATGGCCACAGCATCCAAGAGACCGGCCCAGTAGCTAAAGTCGGCGGCCGGGATGTTGAAGGGACCTGTGGCGTAGTGGTTTAGGGTTTAGGGTTTAGGGTTTAGGGTTTAGGGTTTAGGGTGGGATGTTGTAGGGAGTACTGTGGCGAATGTATGGGTTCCTGTAAGGATTCCTATATGGGCTGAGGGCTTCGAAACTTTAGGGTTCTAGGACTACAAAACCTCGTGCAGAACCCTTAAAGCCCTGATACCCTGAGATGAACCAAAATTTGTGACAAGAGCCTCAAGGAACCCTCAAAGAAGCCTTGAAGACGCCTCAAAGAACCCGGAAAACCCCTACACCCCGAGAAAAAAAGGAACCCAGACCCTTCAAGCGCCCTGCACCGGACCTACGAGCCCTCTAAAGAACCCCGTGGAGGGTTTAGGGCTTCGGGGTTTTTTTACTATTATTTTTGAATATTGTTGCTATTAATAATAGTAACTATAATAATAACTATATTAATAATAATCTTCCAGCAATGCCCAAGTAGTCTGAAAGAAGCCCCTCCGGACCTGAGTTGATGGTCCCGTTTTTCTGCAGGTTGCCCAGAGTGCTCCATGCCAGGACCTGGGCTACTGTTTAGGGTTTAGGGT